TCACATAGATCCCAGTTTGAGACAAAAATAAAAGCAAATCTMATCCAASTGTAAAAGCGTATAAAGCGCTGTTTAGATTCTAAATTTAGCTGTCAGAATATCATTAGTACAAACAGCTTCTTAAACCAACAATACACACAAAAAAGATTTGTATCACATATAAGGTGAAAAAACATCTCCTGTCAGCTGAGAACCAATCATGTGCACCTGCTCAACACATACATCCACAAGGATCGAAAGAGCAGTGACCTGCAGTAGAAACGGCTTCAGAATCATTTAACAGTTGACTGGGAACATGTTTCTGTTTCTCAGTAGCACTTCCACCACACAGACTCACAGATCTACACAATCTTAAAAGCTAAATCCACCATTATAGCATTGAGGTGGCAACTACCTTCATCTCGAAGGTCAGTGAAACTAAACTCTTTGTCTTTCAGTTTATTTAGTGGGAAAATGCATGTTGGTGCTTCAACAGCTTTGTTTGCCTTTGTCACCAGTAGGGCTGGGCAATAAAACAATAACCATGTATATCGCAATAAACACGTGATCAATATCAATAGAAAGTCTGACCCAGAACTGTAGGGCATTGTGGGGGATGTAGGCGGAGGAAAGACTTCAGCCTCTCGACCTCTCACACCAGCTAAGCAACATTAGTGGCATCAACTCACTCTTTGGTCAGCTTGCAACAACCTGTTGAGTAACACAGTTTCAAGTTTCGCCTCATTGCTGCCTAAAACTAAAAAAAGAACAACGTGGAGGGAAAGGAGAAAATGAGTAACAGCTCGAGAGGAAATTGTTGCTAAAACAGGAAAGGTCACATCACAGGTTTTGTGGCATTAATCAGCCGTTTTTCCTCCTGGTTCTTATTTCAAATAGATAAAACAAAAAATAACCAATAATTATCAATATCGACTGAAATGAAATGCTTATATTGTGATACTTTTTTAGCCATATTATTGCCCAGCCCTGATCCCTAGTGTCTAACTTGAAGATAAAACAGTTACCTAAAAGATTTTGTTGTATTTTTTTGTGAAATACATTAATTTGTAAATTCTGAACCACACCAATGCAATAGATTCTTAGCTAGTCTATCTAATAAGGCTTAAAAAGAAATGTCCTAATAATATACGTCAAAATATTTGTGTTACTGACCCTGAAGTTGCGTCATGAATTGTCTAAACTTTTAGCATGATGTTCTGCAGTTGGTGGAGTGAAGGAGCAACGCTTTGCCTAAAATTGTGTCCCAGTGATGCTTTTGTATTCGTTTCTGTTTTATTTATTTATTTTTTTGCATTATTGATTTTCTTTGTTCCTAGTGGCTTTCATGTTTTTAGTATCTATCCCTTTCTTTTCTTGTTTCGTCCTTCTCTGAAGAATGCAGAGAATGTTCTTATCTATGCACGAGGCTGGCTGAGCCTGAAGCAGAGGTTAAATTCCTCTGCAGGTCTCAAGGAGACTGACGGCAGCGCTCACCGGCATCCAGACGGCCCACAGCCAGAAAAGGATCCCTCCCTTTACTGTAACCCCCATCCCCCCGGAAGACCTGTTAGGCCAGTGATTACCTGTCCACGGCCACTTTTATTTTTTGCCAGAAGTAAAGCAATGAATTTACTGGTCACCAGGCAGACTTTCTGGTTTTGGTAGTTTTTGTCTCCTTTGAGTCAATATTGAACTTTATTTATATCAACCAATCAAAGCAAATCCTGCAATCCTAACATGGTTTATGCAGAATCTGTTATAATCACCAGAATTTGGTATTTTGTTTTGTCTTGCTTGCATCAACCCTTTTTTTATTTACCGTACTAGAAAACTAATCAAACTCGGACAGAAAAAATGTAAAATTCAATGTAGCCATAAGTTTATAGGCTTCTGCATATCAAAAAAAAGTGAAGGACATAAAGACATAACAAGTAGGCTTTAGTTATTTTTAGCATTAAAATGACTCTGTTACTCTTCCTTATCTTTTTTTTTTTTTTGGTTTGTAAAAATATCTCAAATGCAAATTTGAACAAGAATTCTTTTTAACTCATAACCGCCGTATGCAAAAAGGATCCCTCTTGCCATGAAACTTTGCTCTCTCCAAACACGCACAGACCCACATCCAGACAAAGTGGATTATGTCAACTGTGTCCAGACGCACACAGTGGCCATTGAGGCCTCCACACAAAGCGTCCTCACAGCGAAACACATGGGCTCACAATGCCACAGCTAGCATACATGCCGCTGCACGTATGCCTGTGCATAAAATCACACTGACACGCAGCAGACAAAAGGCAGCACTGTTCGCCGTTAGCATCGWTAAAGGCCACGATATGCAGGCACAACGTTCACCCTCGCAGGTCCAAGTGGGTTTCAGGACTCACACACATACACACACACGGTGATTTGTCAGGTTACCGCGAGAGCCTCTTTTATTATTTAGCATGAGGCGACACTTGTATTTTGCCATACGTCTCAAGCTGTTGAGATTTTCCTTTTTGCTCTCTCTTTGAACACTACAGTCTGCTCACATTTTTCTCACTTTCACTGTCTGGTTCTGGGGATCAGTTTACCGCAGGAAACTGGGACATGCTCTGAAAAATGATTAACATCAACTTTTCCTTTGTGGCTTTAGGTCACAGGACTTAAAAAAAACTTACTTGTACTGTCTTACTTGGTTAAAACCTTCATATTGGTGCTTTTATTTAGTGTGTTKTGGTGTTTGATACACAACAGCTTCGTCAGGTTTCAGCTCCAGAATCCATCAGAGGTGCATTGCTCAGATTTTTCACACACAGTCAGCCAGACAGGTTTATTTTTAAGTCAGATGTGTTGCCTTAAAATCTGTATTTTTTTATTATATAAGGAAGCCCTCGATAAAATCTAAAGATTAGATGCAGTTGTTTAAGTGGTTGGCAAATAAAAGCTGAGTTGTATCATTTATTTAATATTGTAAAATTTCAGTGAGAAAAGCTGTCAGTTTTGCTCCAGTTTACGTAGGTAAACTCTGAARAGGACTGAAGGATTCCTGCGTTCACAAGATTTGGTCGTCAGTTTTCCGTTTCTATTTCACAGAGGAAACGTTTTCCACATTTATCTTTTCATGTAAAAACTCACAATGATCCATTCAAGCGCTTCTTTGTCACATCCTACTTCCCTCCTCACATCTGCCGTGAGCAATCGGCCTCAACAATGGCCAGCAGGATATGGCAGACTTTCTACTGTTTCAGAGCAGCAATAACAGCCTCACAGGTGGAAGAGCGTTGTTGCGTCAGTTTCCTTTGTATTCAYGATGCAGCACATGTGCAGCTTTGCAGCAGGAACGCCTGGTTTGCTACTGWTTTTTTTTCTTTTTTTTACAGCAATGAAATGATTCAAAGAAACCTCCAGATGAGTCCTTATAASAATATACAAAATTTCTCATAAACAACCATCACCACAGTGTTTTACCTACTTATTATTAGTTCTGAACAAATGAGTTTTGAGTTCAAGCCGGTGCATGCTTATCTAGATTTGATCTGCAAACAAAATACTGTTGGTGAACTCACCTGCGATTAGTGAGAGAGCGTAAACATTGTGGCTTGTTTGTGTTAGTTCAAACATGTCAGTAACCGCAATTACACATACATGCACCGGAGTGCTTTACGGGAGCATGGATACTATTTTAGTCAATTTTTGTCATAAGTAGGTAACACTAAAATTAAATACAATATAAATGCTAAAAAAAAGGCAATTTAAAAGTGCAAGTATAAAGGGGACATATGCAAAATCCACTTTTTTAGCCATTAAATGCATTTTGTTGTGTACTTGAAGTCTCTAGAGGTGCCGATATCTGCATAGATATCTTTATATTCTGTTTGGGTCATATTTTTCAACCAGTTCTGTTATTTTTATTTTCTATTTTCMATGTCACACTATTTGCTACAGAACTGCCAATTGATGTCTGGACTTACCAACTACAATTTGGTCGTCTTCATTTGAGGGGTACACTACTAAATTGGCCATCTGATTTATCGGCACCAATTTCCTTAATTTTGGGAGATTGTAGATTAACCGATACTTGATAAGATCGGCTTAAAAGATCGGCTTTTCATCTACCTCCACAAAGGTCTGAAAATCGCCCAATATCCCCTTATCCTTTGCTGTGAGCACTACCCAATGTCCAGTTAAAACAAGTCTGTATTGTTTCAAGGGTATTTTTGAATGTTTTTCAAAATAAGATTGGAACATTGAAGGTGTATTTTGACCTTATAACATCTGACAATGTCAGTTCTTTAAAAAATGGTTATGGGCCAAAATCGGAATCRACAGGTCCGACGTTTATAAGGTTGGTAATCGTCCAGAATACTGCAATCCTTGCATCCCTACTTCATCCTCCTCTGGCTCTGGGTCAGACTCTGGCTTCGGCATATAAGGCTGGATGGACAAGTCTTCCGTTGTTGACATTTTTAAAAAAAATTGTAAATAAAAAGTTTCTGCGCCACTACGTATATAGTCGTAAACACACTCTATCAAACTAGAACCACTCTGGAAGTTGGAGGGTGGCGGGGCTCGAAGCCCCTTATTTGAATTTAAAGAGACGGCGTCAAAATGAGTTGATCTGAGATAGTTCAGAAAAGGAGTGAAAGAGGGGCTTGTGGAGTTACAATGAGGAATTCAGACCAAAGCATTGCAGTTCCACTTTATATAGACCCCAACTGAACGATTTAAATGTGAAAAAGAGGAATTTAAAAGCATGATACGTTTTCTTGAAGCTTCAGATATTTATAAAATGGTTTCTTTTTTGTGACTGAAGTTGAATTTAAATGAGGGCAGACCTGATAACCTCAAACCTTAAGCTTTTTATGCTTAAAAACCTAAAATATTTTGTCACCCTTAATGTTTTTTTTTTTTTTGGTTTATCATCAGGTTGGACGTCGGTGTTTATACACACAGCCTCATTTTTTGTCATGTTACTCATGTWTTTAGTAGAAGCTATGGGAAAAAAACGTGTCTTCATCAAATGTTTTGTCTTCTTTCAGGTCCTCAATGCCCAGAAAGCCGGCTACAAGGCAGCCATTGTTCACAACGTGGGCTCTGAGGAGTTAATCAGCATGGGATCTAATGATTGTAAGATAACGTCCAGGGCTCCTCCCGTTACCCCCATATACACCATCTAATGACGATCATTTAATAAACGCCTCTTTGGATTTTCTCATTGAGAATCGAGTCCCAACAMGTTYTGTGGGAAAGATGAAATGCTCCTCATGGTTACAAAGCCAAGACTCTGTTTTCGCTCGGTTTTTTAATCATGAGACTCTCTGTGGTTTTGTTTCACTCAGTCCCCCTCACTTAAAGCAGTTATTAATTATCCCAAAGKCTTTTTTAACAGTTAAATGTGTTCACAAGGAACTGGTTTTTACAGACTTAGTAATGGCGCCTTCAGACATTTAATGTTACTTGATGTCACTAAATGTGTCGGTGCGCTTTGACCAAAGTGCTTTAATGTGCATTCAGACAGCACTTAAAGGTACGACTTRATCACACATTCCTGAGACGTCAATTAACATTTTATAATAACAGAAAAACAACAATGTGTAAAGAGACAGTCCTATTTTTATGATTTTTCTTTCTTATGCGTCTGTTTTTAGTGGATGTAGTGAAACAGATYGTGATCCCCTCTGTGTTTGTGAGCGAGGAGACGGCCAACACTCTGAAAGATGACTACGCGTATGATAAGGGGTGAGTCTGATTCCCTATTTTCATGACCTTTGGAATGAATTCAAACAGTTTCCTGCTCGTTTTTATTTTATTTTATTTTATTATAMTTTTTTTGCTTCTCTCTGCATTTTTACTTTGTGATAAAATGCTGGCTGCACACTTTCCGCACTTTAGTTACAAGTTAACGTTGTCAATGTGCAATAATAATAAGAATGTCTGTGCAATTACCTAAAATAGCAGCATGATAAAGATCCTTTAAGTGCCGCCCTGCCTGTGTGTAACACTCCAATACTATTCTGCTGTTTGACCAGGGGACACGTGGTCCTCATCCCAGACTTCAGCCTGCCTCTGGAGTACTACCTGATCCCCTTTCTCATCATAGTGGGGATCTGCCTCATCCTCATTGTTGTTTTCATGGTGAGTGTATTCATTCTGATTTCATCCTAACCTAGGGTTTAAATCTTGAAGACAGACTTATGTAAGCTGAACGTTTCCTTTTATGATTTTTAACAGCTTAAAGGTCAAAATAACAGACCCCCCCCCCTTTTTTAAATTTATTTATTTATTTTACTAAAACTAGATCACCAAGTTTGTTCAGGATCGGCGCAGAGCTCGGAGGAGCCGCCTGCGCAAAGATCAGCTGAAGAAGCTTCCCATCCACAAGTACAAGAAAGGTGAGGAAGAAGTTTTTAACATCAAATCTCAGTTTATAGCAAAAATGAATAAAGTACTTGAAAAAAAATAAAATAACTAAGTAATCTTATCCAATCCAATATATATTTTCAGTTACAGGCTGAGTCATTTCTACCTTCTCCTCCCTTTCAAGATTAACCTTCAGGGTGGATATAGCTCGCTAGCAGCCTCGCACCGATGACCTAGTTGATGTCATCAGTTACCCAGAATGCTTTGCGTGTTAAAATAAATGTTTATCAAATAAAGTTTAATGTTGCAGCTAATCGTGRATCCCTTTAACAGAAGATATTTTGTGTAATTCCGATGTCAGACTCCTGGATGCTTTCAGCGCATGCTGGTTGTTTGTAAAGGCAACTGAAGTTTGGTTTAGATAATTCCCTCAGCTCTACTTCTCAAATCTGCCAGACTGGCTATTTGTTGAACTCAAGAGTTTATTTAGAGGTTTTGTGTGCCGGTTGTGTTTCCTGCTGCAGCTGTGTTTTGCAGACTGGAGAACCCACCCCCACCCCCAGTTGCAGTCATCTGTGGAGGGGAATGCCACAGAGCCTAGGGGAGAATGGGTGGTGCATAACAAGACCACACACCCCCGACTCTCCATCCCTGCTGCTCCTCCCCACCCCGGCCCTAACAGACGTGCATGCAGCACTCTGTCTGCCTCCTCCAGCTGCGCAGTTTTTGCCGCCTCAGTCTGACTCAGGCGTCGCTTCCAGTCGGCTTTACAGGGAGTTCAGATGTCCAGGGAAAAGCCTCTGGTGGGGTCCTTTAGCTGAGTCAGAGCGTTTGGTGACACAGGGAAAGGGATGCCAAATCTMCACCTAATCCCTTTTTAAAACCCCTGTGAGCTGTAGCAATGCAATGCAAGGCCTCAGTTGTTTTAAGGGGTTGTAGTGTTACACTTTACTCCCTCCAGGTAAGAATAAGGAGGAGTGGGTAAAAAAAAACTATTAGTGGTTTAKCTCCATTAGTTCAGTGCCTCACAAGTCGCTTTGACTTTCTGCTGCTCCATTCTGACCTTTGGGGAACATCAGAGTGTCTGAGTGCAGCAGAAAGTTCGGAGAACGCCTAACAGTACTTCTGGCCTTGGTTGCAGCAGATAACGCTGAGTTTGGCCTCCAGGGCTTTTGAACAAAGAGCCACGGTGACTGTTATTATTACAGCCAGTGTATAAAATCCATCATACAAATACTGAAATAGCTGCCAAACTTTGGCCTCATCTGCATTTTTTTTTCCTCTCTGCAGTAACCACAGCTGATAAAACCTTCAAAGGCTACAGATCAAGCAAAATTCACCTTTTTAGACATTAAATGCATTTAGTTGTGTACTTGGGAGTGTCTAGGAGTGCAGAAAAGATGCTGCATAAACATCTTTATGTTGGGTCATAGTTTTCAAACCGTTCAGTTTTCTAAACTATTACATCACAATATTGCAAAGGAACTGCCAAATAAGGTCTGGACTTACCAACTAAGTTTCCGCGCTGCTAAATAGTCTTAAACTAGAATGGACCACTCTGGAAGCTTGGKGGGTGAGATGCCTTGTTTGGAATTAAAGAAACAGCCTTAAAACGAGTTGAAAGAGGGGTTTGTGGAGTTACAATAAGGAGTAATTCAAAGCATTGCAGCTACACTTTGTATAGACCCCAATTGAATGATTTAAATGTGAAAAAGAAGGATTTAAAAGCATGATATGTCTCTTTAAATGTTTTTTTTTAAAAGATGTGGGGTTTTTTTTGTGCATTCATGAGTTTGAAAAGGAAAAGATTATGCAATGATTTGTTTGCCAGTGATCCAGCTCTTGTTYTGGCAGAATGCCTTTCCGCTGATCAGCACCTTCTCTGCATAACCTTCACACATTTCTTGCAGTTGCAGTTCCTAAATATTTCTTTTTTATTATGCTTGAATTTTTTTTGCTTTACTTTCTCTAAACCCATTTWAGTACATAAATAGCTGGTCCAGCGTGAACGATGGGACCTGTTAGCGCCACACTTGGGAGTCCACGGGCTGACATGTGGAGCAGAGAAACACAGAGGGGGCCTGTCTGTACGGGCATTGCACAATGCCTTAATGAAAGCCACGCTGCACATGTAATTGGTGCACAATACTAGTCTGACCCTGCGACAGAAGATCTGTGTCAGTGTGCGTTCAGGATTATGTAATAGCAGCTGCCATGGCTGTCGGAGCGCACCGCTGCGCTGCCATTAACTTGACTTATGTTCAGGGTTTATTACAGAGTCTTACGTCATTCTTGTACCAAGCTGAGTTGGAGCCGTTGGATTGGCCAGTTTCACCAAAYGTTTACATTTATCTCAGGAGTGTCAAACTCATTTTGACTGAGGGCCACTTGAGCRTTATGGTGGCCTTCTAAGGGCCAGTTGTAATTAACTYAAACATTTTGGGTTTAACTTTAAACTAAAAACACAAAACGTCATGTTCCACATGTCTTTGCYACAGCTGAGCAACGCTAACGAACAATAACTGAGCTCTACGTGGTATTTCCTGCATAGAAACAGTGTTTTAGCACGTCCTCTTCTAAACTCTGAAAAGTTTACGCGTAMGACTGAYTAAATGTRAAATAAATAAAACAGAAAAACAATGAAAAGTAAAAGTAAGTTTTATTCACGGTTGAAYTGCGGAGAGTAATTGACAGCAAACTCAGTGAACTATCCAACTTTCTGACAGGAAATTCCAACTAGAGGAGCGTTCCAGTTTAAATTTATGAAACTGWATTGAAATGGAGATTTTACACAGTCTGTGCACCTCCACCTAGTGGTGGGAGTAAAATAATTGATAATTGAGATTTAGWTTATGGTCAATGCTGGTTTTWGAACTGMGTTCCAGTTGTAGCAAAAYTCWAAATTCTGAAGTCAGACTTATGTCAGTTCAGAGTTGAAAGAGTTTCAGTTTAAACTTGACAGAACGTCGGAAAAAAAGTGATTGTTTTTTGCTCGATAATAGTAACAAACAATAGCTCTCTACACTGCATTTTAAGTGTACAAACAGTRTTAAAACCTATCTAATGAAAAYCGCAATAAAGTACTACTTAAAGTGCCTGTGACATAAATTTTTTGTAATAAGCATGAATGCATTTTTGGAAAGAGAACATTGATAAAATACTGCAAAACAAATTTCACGCCACTGAGATGAACAGTTGTTGAGATAGTTGCATGTGAAGAAACAGGAAGTGATGTCAAAGGGGAATGTCTGCATGTAAACAGAGTATTGTTACAACAGCTAACAACAGAGACTGAAGAATAATCAGATGTTTCTTTAGATTATTTTGAGTCACTATCAGAGAGATGAAGAAGAGTTAAGGTTTAAATAATGTTTTAATAAACAAAGACCAGAAAGGTTTATTTTATTAAGGAGTTCCCCTTTGATGTCACGTCCTGTTTCGCTTTGGCTGAGCCAAATCCAAAAGAAAATAGGCTAGTTATGAGACAAAAAGTGTAAAATCATGTGTACTATGCCAATTTTCTTAAGAATAATGAAGTTTTCTTTGACTTTTTATATTTGAAGGATATGCATGTCACAGGCACTTTAATGTAAAGTAAACAACACAGCTAAAAAACGTAGAAGTAAAGAGTTTCACTCTCTGTTGAAGCGAGGAACAACCATGTTGAAATGATGACGTCACGCATGCTCGGGGGTATGGTCTTGTTGCATCAACTTCCCGAATAGAAATGACGACATTAGGGCCGTTCCAGTTCATTTTTCTGACTCGTAAACGCAAAACTCCAACCTCTGAGTACAACAGGAACGCAGCATTAAAGCAGCTTATTTTAGGACATTATTACATCTTTAAAGTGCTCGCGGGTCACAAAAAAATGCCACGGCGGGCCACATTTGGCCCAAGAGCCTTGAGTTTTACACGTGCGATCTATCTGGTGTCACGCAACCAAGTGCTACAGGATTGTTTTTGACCACTTTTGGGGACCTGAACTCTTGATCTGACCCCTGATCTCAGCTCTAATCCCTCCCTGCTGATGATGATGAGTCACTGCAGCCCTCCCCCAGCAGCCTTTTGCTTCTCGGCCGCAGGCAGAGAGCGAGGCGGACGCCCTCGGACAACAGAGCAGCTGCAGTGTGTCAGGCCTCTGTGTGTGAGGCATGTTGATGTCGCCACAGAGGGGCTCTCTCTGTCTCTCCAAGGCTCAGAGCTCGGCCTTGTCTGGTTGGCTCCAGCGGTGACAGACAGAAGATGTTTTTTTTCCCCTGTCATGCTCGCTCTAGTTCTACTAAAGACATTCATCTTTCATCTGAGGTTCAGTGGGCCAGCAGGGTTCCTCTGAGAACCAAGATCCTGGACGATAAATGAAAGTCGGAAGGAGGAGCCTGTCGGGGTCCCAGAGTCTTTTCATACGAGCTTCAGGCCCAAAACGAGAAAGCAAGGGATTCCCACCGTCTGATAAAGCTGCCAAATATGAACTCAGAAAAGAAGAGTATCCTCCTGCTTTTTTATTTTTATTTTTTTACAGCTCACACGAGTAAATCTCAGCAAGTAWTGACTGAGAAGCCTTGATAGAAGACTGAACTCTGCTTCTCTTAGAATAACTCCGTTCATGCCACAGTTCAGCATTTCCTGCTGGATGTGTGCCTGCATGAACGCCCTTCTCTGAACGTCCAGCCTCACTGAAAGGCAAGCCATGCTGTCCTAAAAAAAGAGTCAGGTTAACAATTACAGGGATGATATCCATATCGATCTTTGAGAMYTGTGAAACCGGAGCTGAGATTTAAAAAAAAAAAAGGAAGAACGAGCTGTTTATCTGCTGATGCTCAGAAAGAAAAGGGGGGAGAGAGAGAGAGAGGTGGGAGGTTTTCAGTGTGACTCTCCTTCCTTATACGGTCACATGCAGCCCTGGCACTCAGTCAGAAAGTCCAGTCAGGGAAAACATGCTCTTTTTAAAGCTTACATAAACACGCCGGCCCACGAGCCCCCACTCTCTGCAGCCCCTGCTGGGGAAGAGGAGAGGACGGGAGAAAGAATGCTGTGGAATCTGAAAGGGAGTGCGTAGATAAATTCCTGAGCTTTCAGTGCACAGAGAGACTTTGCACCTCTTATTACATCAGGAAATGTGACGCTGGCAGCCGAGGAGCTGCTCTGCCTGCAGACCGCGGACGGGCCGGGATGGGTGGGACGGGCGGAGTTCAGGGACATATTTGGACAAAGAATTAAAGGAAATCGGGGCCTGGTGAGGCAGGCAGCGACGCTCTTAATGACCTCACACATCATGGAGCTTCCCCACCTCCGAGGCCTTCAGGATAGCAAATAAAAACAAGAAGTCTGTATAATTAGGATTAGAATTACACAGATTTTTTTTCTGATTTTTTTCGTTTTAATTCTGAGATTAAAGTTAGAATTCTGACTCAGAATTAGGTAAAAATCAGAACCTCAGGACTCTTGACTTTCATCTGAAAATTCTGAGATTAAAGTCACAATTCTTATAAATTCTCATCAACTGTAATATTGGAACCCTGACTTTTTTTTCTCAGAATTCTGAGGAAAAACTGTCAGAATTCTCATAAATCCTCATAAATGTTAATATCAAAATCCTGACTTTTTCTCAGAATTCTGAAAAAATATACAAAATACTGGCGTTTTCTCAGATTTTGAGAATAAAGCCTTGGGAAACTCAGGAAAAACTTTTTTTTTTGTTTGGCTCTGTGGCACTTGTCATCTTACGTATCATAATTACATATCACTGACACTGAAATTTTAATAATTTATAAAACTCAGTCCCCAGTCTTATATTTCCCCACAGCGATCTCTCTTGTGTAAAATTTCTAAATATCTGTCTTCAACTTTAGCTGCTAAATATTGAATTTATGTGGTGTTTTTGACTCAGGCGATAACTACGATGTCTGTGCCATTTGCCTGGATGAATATGAAGAAGGAGATAAACTCAGAGTCCTGCCATGTTCTCATGGTGAGTTTTCTGCATGACATCTTCAAATGTTTCATTTTCAAAAAGAGAAAATTACACAGTCATGAACGTGCTTATAGTTCGATTATTAATGCTGATTATTCTCTTATGTTAATTTTTTTTGTTTAGTATGACCTCAAATAAATGGTTAAATTAAACTTTATTGGCAGTTATTTTAAAGTGCCAGTGACGTCACATTTTTGTAATAAATATGAATGCATTTTTGGAAGAAAAACAGTGATAACATACTGAAAAATAAAGGTCACATGTTTGAGATGAGCAGCTGTTCAGATATTCACATGTGAAGTAACAGGAAATGATGTCAAAGGGGAACGCCTGCATGWGGACAAAGCATTGCTACAGCGGCTAACGCAGACAGTAGAGAAGAATCTGATGTTTCTTTATTTTGAGTTTCTATCTGAGAGATTAAGAAGAGTCACAGTTCAAATAATGTTTCAGCAAAAGGCCATGGAGTTCCCCTTTGATGTCACTTCCTGTTTCATTTTGGGTGAGCCAAGTTTAAATAAGAATATGTGATTTATGAAACAAAACAAGTAGCATGATGTGCATTAAGTTTCTTAAATGTAAAGATGTTTTCTTTGACTTCCTGTATTTAAAGGAAATGCACGTCACTTTAAGAGTCAGAGGCGTTTTATGTTCTAAAACCAGACGTCCTTGTTGTTGTCAGCCTACCACAGTAAGTGTGTGGACCCGTGGCTGACTAAAACCAAGAAGACGTGCCCGGTGTGCAAGCAGAAGGTGGTCCCCTCGCAGGGCGACTCCGACTCTGACTCGGACGAGGGGGACAGCGGGCCCGAGGAGAACGAGGCGTCCGAGAGCACGCCGCTGCTGCGCTCCCTGGCCTCCACCAGCGCCCACTCCTTCGGCACCATATCGGGCGCGTCGCGCTCCGAGCGGGACCAGGACTCCTCCGAGTACGAGGACGAGGAGCTGGACAGCAGCGACAGCGAGGAGGAGGTGACCGTGGAGACCGTGGTGGTGCAGATGCAGCAGCCGTGCTCCGAGGCCCACGAACAGGACCTGCCCCGAGCTTGATTGACATCTGGTCGATAACGGGACTAACCAAGGAGCTCCACTGTCCTCTGATCATTAAAACACGTGGAAAACTGGAGGTCATAAACATGAAGCTTCACAAAGATCAGTAGAAGCACCGTCTGTATATAAAGTATAAATCATGACATCTTAACCTTTGATTATCAAATGTTCTAAAAGAATATATGTTGTAGATACATGTTGGACTCAGCCTGGAGCACTATGCAGCACCGGACTGGTGAAACTGAACAGTGAAGAYAGCAATGTTGCCAATTTATTTCTGCCCTGATATTTGAAGGAGCTTCAGACTTTCGTGCCACAGTTCATGTTAAAATAACTGACGTGAAACCAAAGAGTTTTGGTTCGAGTTATTCAGAGAAACAGGAATGTGATGTTTGTGATGCATCATATGAAGTTGTGGGTCCACGCTGCATGTGGGAAAATGTTGATTTTCATTTAACATGTGCAACTTACTGATGGATTGCCACTCTAACGCACACTTAATCTCATGACTTTTGTTTTTTAAACTTGATTTTTGTTCATAAATGACTCGATTGTCGACACATCCCGTTGCCTTTTCAGTTTTTATTTCCTGCTTGTGTACATCTTAGACTAGGTTCATAGGAAAATCCCTTAATATTTCAATGATTTAGCTAGATGTAACTTTATCCTCAAACATTTCCACTTTTCTTGCCTGTGTGTTATTCACWGTTACTGATCAGATCTCATGAACCAACAAGCATCATTTTCTTTTACATTTCTGTATAGAATTGTGATTTATTTTTGAGCAACTTTTGCAGTCACAAGTTCAAACTGATAAATCCTGTTTTTTGTTTCAGTGTTGTCCGTTACTTTTCATTTTCTGCCTGCTGTTGTACAGTGTCATTTAAATAAAAATGGCTTTTCTGTCCCAAGAAAAAGAAGTTTTAACTTTTGTTCAGGATCCTTTGTGGAAATGCAGATTTAGACGAGTTTAAAAAGCAGATTGAAATTTTTATGGCAACCAAATTTGAATGGTTTCATTTGAATACTTCGGTAGATTTAATGAATTTAGTTAAGGCTGAAGCTACTTTTGATCAGTTCTGAGCCATGTTGTTTCAGACGTTAGTTTCCCACAGCAGTCATGTTGAAAATGAAGACTAGATTTTCTAAAACTCATCTTTAAATGAGGACAAGCAGCACTTCAGAATATAACCTGCTGTTTTAATGAGTCAGAGCGCTCAAACTTCACAATTTAAGTGGCACAGAACAAAACTGTCAAATCAGCGTTTCAAAAAGTAAAATTATTCCCATTAAAATAAAAAAAAAATCACACAGGTAAACTGAAACATTCGTCTGGTTGGAATAAATTTATTTGATCTGTTTGTAAACAAGGTGATAAATCAATTTATGGCATTTCTTGGTTTATGCATATGACATCAGATGCATTAAAGACTGTATCCCAGATGTAAGAAAAAAGAAAAAAAAGTGATGAAGAAAGGAAATGAACAGATCAGCAAAGAGGACTTTAAACAGTGTTTTAAATGAGTACACATATCCCACAAGGCCTAAACAGTGGAGCTGAAGCTACAAAAACTAGTAAAGACAAAGTGCAGATGAAATGACTCCTTAGCCAACAGTGGGTAAAATCCATCATACAGATCTCTACATTATGGCACAGGATACACAGGTTCTGCAGTTTCAACAAGACAACCATGAGCATCTTTGTTCCAACTACCATCTCCCATCGAGTGTCATTTCTACTTTTAAAAGTTATGTTTTTTTTTTTATTCAGTTGGACGTTACAGTTAGCAGTACTGAGCGTGGACAGACCGAGTGATACCCCAGAGCTCAACTAACTATAAGAAAAAGGCAATTTACTCCACAGTTATGTAGTTAACACAGCACGGGGTTTGTACAAATACAAGTAAAAAGACAGAAGAATTAGATTCAGGCCTCTCCCACCCTCACCTGACCTGTAGCTTTATAGTTTGCCTGCAGCATTACAGTCTTGTTACTGCTTTCCTTCGTCAGAAAAAAAAAAAAGGTGATCCTTCACATGGTTTAGAGCACTTGTATAAACACCCGAGCTGCAACTACACTTGGTCCTATTAAAAAAAAATAACTGAACACACTCCAGATGGTTATATGCTGGGATRTCTACTGTCCAAAAAATGGCAGCCTTTCAAAAAAAAGGAAAAAAAACAAAAATATATTACAGAAGATGGCAAAACTAAACAGTGTCAAGTGTCTGAGTCCTTGTTACTGTGGAATGTCCATGGATTGTTTGTTTTTGTAGTGAAAGGGAGGTTGTAATGCCAGGAGACGGCCCGTCAGCTTGTGAGCGACACCAACGCTAGCAAAAGCTGGTTTATGATGGCTAACTGAACCGGCCCCTCACAGACAGCCCCCTCCTTTAATCAAGTTGGTTTCAGGACAGTACAGTGACTCAGGTGGGACAGACGGGTAGTGTTTRTGTAATTTAAAGAATCTTGAGAAGTATAGTGTCAGATTTTAGCTAGCAGGTCAGGGAAAACTAAAAAATAATTTGGCAAGAGGGGTCCACGGGGTTTGTCAGAGACGACAGTGGTCCGAGATATGCAGAGTCTCCCCTCCTGGAAATGGAGGAAATAAAGGAAGACGTGATGAGCTTTGTTAAGAGCTCAAGCGCTCCAAAAAGGCATAGGCTGCTCAACGAGGGAGTGTGTACGACTGCGCCTGGGAGGATTAGGTGAGAGGGACCATAAAAAACAAATGCAAGGAATTTCTACTACAAACTTGACACTATAGCTTTTCATGGTCTAGGTTTTCTGCCAGAATTTATGTTTTTGCTGGTCTTCGTTAACAGATTTGTCATGACACCCTGTTTAGCAACAAGCTCATCTTTGCTATGGATCAACTTAAGAGTGTTTTAAAAAGAAGATAGATTACATAAAGCAGGTGTGTAGGGAGGAGGGGAGGGTCTGGGAAAATATGACAACAAAAAGGGAATAAATGAGGGGGAGGGAAAGGTAGGATAGGGGGAAAAAAAAAAAGAAAAAAAACACTAGGACTGGAAGTGGTGTGAAATGCAACAAGGTGGTAAGGGTGAGCTGCTAGCTGGGTACAGGTTGCTTTAGTATCCGGACTTCCTCAGGTAATCAGCCATCTGAAAAGCTTTCTTGTTGAGCTGCCCTCCATGGACACCTTCCTTCCCCATGACCAAAACCATTGCTGGAGTACACAAAAGGACAAAAAAAATTAAATAAATAAATGAATGACAACAGCAAAAGATGAAAAAAAATGAAACTTTTTGTTCCACCTTAGCTAAACATGGGGGCTACATTGCTGGGACAGTCTGAACCCTGCATTAAAGAAATGCTCCTGGGATGTTATTTAATCAAGTCTTGCCTGGATGTGGGGAGGAAACATGGATTTGACAGCAACCTTTTTTTTTTAAGTCCATTTTTTTGAGTTTTGTGTTTTTTGTTTTCATTTTATTATTTTTTTTCTCTCCTACTACACCACATTTACTATGTCTAACTAAAACCCTGAATCCCTCAAGTATTTTGCCATCGAGTATGCCTTCTTATTCAATCCGCCTCCATGGACCCCTTCTTTTCCCATTACCAAGACCAAGACTGAAAGAAAAGAGACAGAGAAGGAACATTTAGAAGGAGTGTGGAAATCACACGTGAAGAAAAAAATAAAAATAAGACATATAGCAGCAGACAGGACAAGACAACAAGAGGACACGGGAGCTGAGGTTTTAGTTTAGGCCTAAAACCTTCTTTTTCTTATCAGAGCTGCTGGTGATGAAGGAGGTTACAGATAAAAAGGACGCATGCAAACCTAATTAAGCCTACACCCGTTACAATTACTGGGTTTGTTTCGTCCCCAGTTTAATTTATACAAACTTTCTCAGTTGAACAAACTGATTTTCTGTTTGGATTTGACAGCGTACTAACAAAACTGAGCTGCACTCCTCTAATCTGTGCTCTTACACTCATCTCACAGCCAGCTGCACACGGATTGCTCAAGCCRTAAACAGCCATTGGTAGAGCTGTCAAATGTGTTATTCCTTTTCCTTTTATTCTGGCCAAACAGTGAGGATCACTGATGAATTTAAGCCAAAATTTCAYGTTTAACAAATCTGAGCTGGTTGTGAAATACACCTGAGGCGTTCTTGTACTGTGAGGAAAAAAAAAAGAAAAACATTCTCACAGTTGGCCGACTGTTGCACGAAAGCATTTAAGAGATGAGCATTTTATCTAGAGATAGTTAATGATTTATGAAAACGTGTATATTTGTCTTACAAATTGACACTAGTTAAAAGTGTCAGTTTCAGGCCGCAGTATACCTGCTGCATTGATTCATTCAGAAAAGCCATATAAGCCTTGCCCTGTTTTGTTTTTCCCCTCCTAAAAACAAGTTAGTCAAAGAACAGGTTCTTCGGGAAAATGTAACATGCAACAAGCCAGCAGCAAAGAATGGAAAAAAAAAAAAAGACAGTTTCTGACAAACTAATCTCTAAAAGCAGCACACACATCAGCATGCTCGGAGTACCTCTCCTCAATACATGCAAGAACCCTTAAAGCGCCCGACAACACGTACGGGGGAACACATTTGTAGTTTACAGACAGTGAGAGGGACAGAGACATGGAAAGTTTAAGGAAGTTCTGAGCCGCAGATTCAGGTCGGTGTGTAGGAGACAGGAAACAGTTTGTCCTTGTAGGCACACCTGTAAGTAACAGTGCACAGGGCCTCRTACAGACAACATGAATAGAACTGGCACAACTCAGGAAAGTCCATAAAGGCATCATGGCCRACTTCTTCCCCTGTGGCATCTGTCTATAATTAAGAAACTTCAAGAGTAATGGACAGGAATAGTTAAAAAATTAAAAATCTCMAACTTTCTTAACCAGTGTCATTAAAAACAGACTTCCCCCTTAAAAAGCTACTGATCGAACCAAATACACTGACTGCAAGATATTTAACAGCTCCAGAGAAGTGTTTCATTCACATGCTAACATTGTTTTGGCCACCTAATGCAGTTTGCATTTTATATACTTAAAACTCTAAATATGTACAATACACACAAATGTACAACTTAAAAACTGTAGGCATATATAAATTTTAAAAACATTTTACCTTTCAATGTAAACAGTTTTATTTTGAAGGATGTTAATATTTATTTTTTGCTAATGCTAAAACATATACACTGCTCAAAAAAATAAAGGGAACACTTAAACAATGCACGCTAAGTCCAAGTAAATCAAACTTTTGTGAAGCACATTCAACTCTGTACAGAACAAAGTACTCAATGCAAATATTTCATTGATTAATATCGGGAGTTAGCGTGCGTTAACTGTTCCCTTTATTTTTTTGATCAGTGTATATTCAGGATGCAGCTCAACTGAACAGTAAAAGCTGT